AATAATATCGATTTGTAAAGTATGATCAATGGAATTACAGTTCATTAAAGATGCTTAAATTATAATAATAATAAAGATATAAAAGCGAATAGAATATCAACTAAAATTAGGGAAATTTCACAAAAATTCTGGATTATTCAAACCTGGATGGCCACGGTAATGATAATGACTGGACTAACTTCTTTTGGGTGCATAAATTAGGCTTATTAATATGAATCCCCACAGCCTCAGCAATATTTAGAAGTCGAACTCTTAAAGCGAAATTGAGATCCGTAGGTATGCGGTAAATGACCCTGAAAGCATGATTAACGTCAATCTTGTGTTCTGTCTCCACAAGATGCGCCAGAATAGCACTGCGAATAGATTTTGTTTGACCTTTGCTTAACCAGGCAGGGTGATGTTCGGAAATTCGACGAGAAACACGCCTAATATTATTTACTGATTCAAAAGACACTCAAATAGTTGAAAACTTACACACTCTATTTCTGTTTTGTTATCTTCTATTTTTTTCTTGACCTTTCATATCCTCCCTTTTGTAAGTCATCATCTCCGCCAGTATCATCGAACAAGGAGAATCGTGATAATACGTCACCAAGATTAGACGCAAATGTTGCCATATTTACCAATCCCAATGACACACATAAAGGTCAGTATTGAATTTTGTCCCATTAATTTTGTTTTTCCATCCTTTCATTCAGCTAGGATTCTATCACGAATTGAACATTAGTGAGAGAGTTACTGAAAACTAGAAAGTACCACATAGCTGTTTCGTCTTAGTTTAGGACTCTTCATAGTATGCACATGTGATGTGACTGGAGGTTGGGCTGAGACCCTGCAGATTAAGAGAAGAGCAACTTTTTACACAGCCAGTGGATATACGCTTAAAGGTGCATGACTCTTAACTTCTGAGATTTGTATCTCCAATGCACCGGCCAATGTTATTGGCTAATATATGTCCTAACACCTGACTTAGTGAACCGCAGGAACTCGCTGACTGATGTATCTGTCTATAATAAAATGGCGAATAATTTAATTGGCCTAAATCAACTAAGTTACACATGTCAGGCTCTCAAGTGGAATCCACACCAATGGGAACAGACGAGCTGGAGGTGTGTTCAAAGGTCACACGGAGAAGATAATGTTAGATTATGTTAGCATGAAATGAAAGCTTGTAAGATGCAGTAAAGCCAGTTTAAACTGATCACGGAGGACTTAACAGGATGAGGATATGACCCGCTGGAGGTCTTTGTTCCACTCAGAATGCATGGGACAGATAATAACAATAACAAGGGTTCATCAAACTACTTTATAAAGACTTTTTCAAAAGTGATATGTCACTTAATGAAAGCTGAAATGATTGTTTCATTATTCTCCATAGCATTACTTACTACTGATTCACCAAGTGTACAGAAATGGAGACTGTTAATAATGCAATTTCAGTGACCCTTCATGTAATTAAGAACACATGAGCCACGCCTTCTGATCAAAAGTAGATATCTAACCCCCTTTCGTCAACAAGCAGCTAAAAGTAAGGACCAATACTCCATGAATTCTGAGGGTCCTAATTATACAGCTAATTGCAAATCTGAATTTCAAGGGAGGTTGTTTATTTTAAGCCAATTGTTGTGAGTAATTTGAAGAACGTTCTTCATTGCATCTCTGCGTCTCACCTTCACACATGCTCTTTTTCATCAAAAAATCAAACACAGAATCCTGCTGTCGGTAACTTCAGTGTGCTTTTATCAATTCACTTATTGTCTAGACTCACCCAGCTTGATTTCTCGAAGGAGAACGTATGATAGTGAACAGTTCAATTCTATGGCAAATTATTACTTCCTGTCACTCAGTATTAGCAGAGACTCCTGTCAGTGCCGTTTGAAAAGATTCTGACTGCATCGTTTTCATACAGTTGAAGCCTTAGCAATCCATGTTGAGAAACTACAACTTTGTGTTCAGAAAGGTTTTATTCATCCTTAGAGATATATGTAACTGAATTTTAGATTTTCCCGTCGATTGACTAGACCGAAGTGCTCGGTCTCAGGTGGACATGTTGACTTCTTGTCCAGATGCTTCGACGATATCTGGGCATGTAATTAGAATTTAATTGGTGGATGGTGACTAGCAGTGGAATCCAGGATGCCTATTTCGTCCTATTTGGGACTAATTAGTTGGATGTACTTGCACTTCCCAGTAAGTGATGACGTTCCCACCGAGGCTCTGCGCAAGAAGCCGACATGTCAACCTGAGACCGAGCACTTTGGTCCAATCGATCGACAGAAAATTGAAAAAATTAAATGAAATAATTAATATAACCTGTTGCACAAAAGGTGGCTCTCGTGGCCTAAGTGGTCTAGTGGATAACGCCTTGGCATTTGAAACTATGGGCACTGGGTTCGAGTACTTTATTTTTATTTTTCTGTCTTCTTGACTAGCTGTATAGTAAACTCTACGCCGTCCATCTTATTATTCTCTAGTGTTTTGCATCTCATTTTCAATTCTTTATCCTCTCATTTCTTATCAGTCATTTTCAATCGATTATTCTTCCTTTTAACCAAGTAATTGTCAACATTCCCTTGATTAGGTAAAACTATCCACAATTTTTTCAAATATTACTCTTGCTCATAAACTCGGTCTTATTTTGTGACTAACTGACAGTAACCTCTCACCTCAGTTGACACTAGATGTGTAGACTTCTAAGTAACTAACTGTACCAATTTGAAGTTAAGCTACGGAAAATTCAGTGAAACCTTTCAGAGAAGACAGGGGGAAAGACAAGAATGACTGCCTTCTACCACCAATGATATTCGTATTTGTGGTGGACTTGATTATGCAGAACGTTGCGTGTGGGGAGCTAGAAGACAGGAATACGTTGGATTCTAGACTCCTGAAGATCTGGATTTCATGGAAAATTCATGCCTGACGCCACATAAATTGAAGTCCGTACAGGAGAAAACTGACAAATTGTCAGAGGAGACAGGCAGAGAAGAGAAGATTTCAAATAACAATGTAGGAGACAGAGGTGATGAAGATGACAAATGACTATCAATGGAATAAATTTGAAAGACAATACTTCCTATGGTTACCTAAGAGGCACTTTTCAATTGCAGGCGAAGGTATAAATGATAGTGTCAAAACCAGAATCTGACAGGTAAGGCAGACCATTGGAAATCCTGTGAGGACAGCACACAGAAGAAAATTCGAAATTTTAACAATAGTGATAAGTCAATTCTTCTATATGGATAAGAAACTTGGTGCATAAGTCATGAAACCCATTTCAAACAGGTTACTGCAGAATTTCATCAACAGCTACCTTCACTCAACAGTCAGCACCAGATAGCCAGAAAGGGATTGCAGCAAAACAACTTTAGGAACATACTAAGAACTGATTGCTCAAAAAATATGCCGTAAGAAATGGAGATGAACTGGACAAACTCTGAGGATACCGTCGGGTAATATCATGCGTCAGGACATCTGTCGAGTAGAACCCGAATGGGAAGCGATGAGTTGAGCGCTGATTCGAGTGTGACATGGAGGAGGTCATGTGAGGAGGAGATTAAAGACTATGCGCAATCATGAAACTACCTGAATAGGACTGCAAAGAATGGGACAATGTGGAGACTCGCTGCAGAAGTCCTATGCTCCACTAGGAACCAAAAGGAATAATAATGACAATAATAATGATAGGAAACAGATCTCTTTTCTGACTATTTGGTATTTTCCATTACCCTAAAGTAAAACGCATGATTTCCAAAGGACGTTGAAGTCTACAAACAAAATTACAAACGCCCTAACTGTTGATATTGATTAAGGATGGACTGTTCGTTATAGATTTTCCCGCTAATTTGTTTAAGTCAATGATGAAACCTAAAACAGCCTAAGACACTGTGAGCACTACGAAGATAACGCACATTTAATTTTAGTTTAGAAATGCCGGTTGGTAGGGATATGCTTGATTTCAAGATTGATCACGAAGTGAGTTTACTTAATAAACCTCTTAAAAGTAAGGCGTCTTCAACAGTTGTTTCAGCTTCGTCTGCAACTCATCAGCAATATTCACCCTCCAGGTAACAAGGCAAGCTTGTCAACTTTTGAACCACTGGCATGGAATCCAGTGACTGGTATATCAATTCTAACTTCGTCTGGTGTTTGGATCATCTCGTTCTGGTTGGCTAGCAAGCACTACTGGCTGACATAAGTGGCATGCAGCTACTCACCTTAGTCAATCAGTAGTATATAGTTTTACGCAAATTTCAGGATTTTCTCATCATCTGATTTTATAAACTTATCTCTGTAGGCATTTTGATAACCTGTTAGAACTAACTCACTAACTTACCTTGAACTAACTAACAAATCAACTAACTCTGAACTAATTTGGTGGATAGTGTGTAGCAGTGGAATCCAGGATGCGCATTTCGTCCTATCCGGGACTCGTCATCTAGATGTACCTGGATTATGCAGTGAGTGATGATGTCCCCACCGACGCTCGAACCCAGTGCCAATAGTTTCAAACGCCAAAGCGTTACCCACTAGACCATTTGGGCCACGAGAGCCACCTCTTGTGCAACGGTTCATATTAATTATTGAATTGAATTTTAGATTTTATGGGCACTGGGTTCGAGCCTCAGTGAGAACATCATCACTCACTGAGGAATGCAGGTACATCTAGCTGACGAGTCCAAAATGGGACGAAATGCACATCCTGGATTCCACTGCTAGTCACCATCCACAAATTAAATTCTAATTACATGCCCAGACATCTTCGAAGCATCTGAACAAGATGTCGACATGTCAACCTGAGACCGAGCACTTCGATCCAATCAATCGACGGGAAAATCTAAAATTCAATTAAATAATCCTGGACTAACTAAATAGCTATCCAGATTTGAGGAGGGAAGACACGAAAAGAATGGATTTTGCCTGATACCTATATCCTTTAATTTTGTTATTTCACTCAGGTATTCTTTTCTCAAAATATGAAATTTATTTTTATGTTCTGTTAGATCCCTGGAATTCTCTTCTTCAAACAAACAAAGCGACCAGATCCCTATTCGACTCGCCGACCACATCAACTGTGACAACATCTCAACAAACTGCTCAAATGCTAAATTCAAACAATACACCAACTACATCAAAACCTTCAGATTACTATACAAAACTTCAACAGATCAGTAATAATAATAATACTAGTAATTTACAAGAAAAAATTAAAAGTAATGCTAAACATTTAAATTCATCTATGATTTATTTTAATAATTCAAAAAATACTGAAGATTGCTATTCTCATTATCAGGCGCCACCACCTGTATCCTCTTGTATTCAATCAACTGAAGAAGGAAAGAATCAATCGAATCAATCAATAACACCTATTAATCTTATTGATTTAATGAATGATAAATGTGGTGTTAATTATACAACAACAGTGTGTAAATGTGGTGGTACAATCAAAGATAAGACCCCCAATACATCTAATAATAATAACAGTAATGATAGCAATACAACTGATAATATTACTAATAATAGTAATCATGATAATAATGGTTCAGTGATACATATGATCAGTAATCACCGTCATCATCACCTCCATCATAATCCTCATCAGCGTAATGCTCAACATCAACATCAATATGATAATTCAACGATTCCAACTGATTTTGTTTGAATTAACTAATTTAACTGAAGGAATGACCTTGGTGCTATTTAAAAACTGACAAATATATATGTATGTAAACATATTTATACACTTTGTAAATTATGAGAAATAGATACTAGAAGATTTTTAAAACAGTTAACATAACAGTTGTACACACATGTGCACATACACACTCACAAGAAAACACACGCACACTCAAACACAAATGCATTCACTAACACACAGAAATAAAAAAAGATATGAAACTTATGTAACTTGTATAATTTACATAACTCAAAGAAAATATATGAAAGATTTTAAATTTCTTCTAAATAATGTCCATTGCTTCTTTATTCAGCATTCTTGTAGGTTCTTGTCAGTAGTGAACACCACACTGCTCCTACCTGCCCTAGTTTACTAGCCTTCAATAATTCCCGGCAAATTAATGGAGGTTAGTCACTGAAGCTAGAAACCCCATACCGGAAAAACAATATTACCACTAGTGGAACTACAGAAAGCTTCAAAGTGATCTTGTTTTAGGACAGTAATTTATACATGGCATAATATTGATTTCACTATGCATCTGAGAGAAGTTACAGAATTACTGAAATCCAAACAGTACTGAATAAGTGTTTTGTCCTTGTCCGGTACTCTTCAATGATGCGCAAACCAATACGCCAACCGAAAAATGAACATAGGACTTTCCTTATATCGCTCTAATTACTTCCACTGGTCAGCTTTAATTGCACAGAAATGCTGAGTATAGGGTTGAAAAACAAGATTCTGTATATTCGACGAAAACATCTTCGAAGCCTGTACAGTCGTATTTATATTTGTCAATAACGTATGTTAGGCTATTGGCGAGTAATAGTGGGGGGAGGTGACATAATTCATACAATTACTCAGAAATATTTTGTAAAGATAAAAAAATTCACCCAATACTCAACGTCACAATGGAGATAATAGTTAGAAATCTGATAAGGTGGAAATTGTTGTTCTATGAGAAGTAAGGGTGGTTGAGTGCCGACTTAAAAGGAGAGAGTGAGAAAACAGCACGGGGTAAAATGTGCAAAACCAACATGTTAGAGTGGTAATAGTGAATTAATTACTGAAAATATAAATCATCACGTAGGGAAAGAGCTTAAGACCATAGTAGAGAATAAGAGACTGAAGAAAACTTTTGTTTACACAGAGTTCGGGGTTACACTGATGAATCGCTAGCACCTCCTGCATATACAAAGTACCATTCTGAATCACCTTGTAGATAACTTCAAAAGACGATTCTGTTGAAGCTGCATGTCCTGAGTTCACCAAGCTGTCATAAGTCAAGCTTGTAATTATCTAACATTGTCCTTTTGATAACCATGCTGGATAATGACAAGTACTAGATTCATTGATAAGTTTTCAGAATTAACAACCAACCAATGAGAGTTTAGCTATCAAAGAGTGTGGGAATTACAAGAAGCGTCATGAATGCGCGGAAACAGCAAAGTAGAATTATATTAAGCTTATAGGAGAACATCAGATTTTTTAAAAAATTAAATGAAATCATACGCAAGGCATACAATCCAATAAGCTGTCTCTCACTGATATATTTGAACTTTCTTTCATATATTCAATAGTTAAAAATTCTTAGTGTCCGGTGTCACACAAACTTGAAGACATACTGGCCAAAAGTAACAAGTTGACAGAAGAAGCAGGCAGAGAAGGCTGAAATACAAGTGAAAATAGAGAAATCGGAGATGATGAAAATAACCAACCAGCAACAACAACAAGTGGCAATCACCATCAACGGGAGAGATTGAAACGGGATCACTTCCTACACCTATTTAGCTAGCATCACTTCAACTGCAGGCAGTGTAGGTTAAAATGCCAAAACGGGGATCGGAAAAGCCGGAATGAACTTCATCTCTCAGAAATCAATGTGGAATTCTTGTGCATTCAGCACACTACAAAATTTCAGACTTTCGACACCAGTGTTAAGTCTGTTCTGATATATAGGTCAGAACTTTCGCGTGAATGTCTTAGAAAGCATTTCCAACAGGCTATGCAAACGAATCAGATAAACACTGTCAGTTGGAACCCGAATAGGAAAATCTGAGGTGCGCGCGAGCCGAAGGTGTAATGGAGGAGACTATGAGCGATCATTGAACCAGCTAGAGAGGAACGCGTAAAATAGGACGAAGTGAAGATCTACCGTCGAAGCCCAATATTCCACCATGATATACTGAAACTATACATTAGCACTAAGTGAATACAACATGAACTAATTTCATTAAGTGAATCAATGAAAACCAGGGAGTAATGGAGAGGTGCTTCGTCCTATCCTGTTACTCTTCAGTAATATACAACCATTACCTTACAGGTGATTGATGTTGAAACCTTCATTTTACGGGATCACCTAGTTGACAATTCAGCTATCATAGGCGAATCCAATGGCCCAAGAACTCTAACTTCTGACAGTTTGTGATGTATACACCGCAACCACCAACTAGTGCTGTCAATGAGGATCTACTTCACCATGACATAGTGGATCTCACTAGCCACCGTTCCTCACTAACCCATCTGGATATCTGTTATGCAACCACTAATGAACTGACTATTAATGGTTAGATTATGGATATTTTTCGAAGGGATTCGCATTACTTTCGGTATCAAGTTTCATCGAGTCTACATATATATACATATATTCATTCTTATTGTAATGACCAAAACCAACTTGTTGTGGTCTGAACTCAGTGAACCTATCTTTGCGTTCTACTGCATAACTGTTGAAAACTTCTATGAGAGATAAAAAGTCACGAAATGCTCCATAGGCAGATATAACACGGCCATCCATCAATAAATCTGTGTGATTCTATTGAATAATAAATAGTGAAGTCGGGAACTCAACAGTACCGTTAAGCAGTTATGCAGCCCAGTTAGTTTTCTAAATCACAAGAACAGTATTATAAAACAAAATTAGCTGACCGAAATTCAACCGTAAGAGGTACTTTAGAATCAAGTAGAATATTCCCAATAAGGTGGGATCAAAACCTCTGTCCACATGAACCACACACTAACAATTCCTCCACAGAGTCCAGTGTCAGAGTCACCTTGATTCACGCAAACAAAATCACATCGTAAAATTACACATTACCAATGTATCGCACAACTACAAAAAAGAAGCTTTAAAATTAGAGATTATCTAGGGACAGAGATAAATACTAAGGATGAAGTTAACAAATGATACGCAAATGACAGAAGAATGACATACAGTCTGGCAGACAACATCAGTGAGATACTAACACAAGGCCTAAGGAATACGGCGGCAAACAGAGCATCCAGTGCTGCTGAATTCTGTTGTGTCTTCAAAACCACACCCATTTTGCATTCAGGAGTAAAAGATAAACTGCCTAATTTCGTCTCTTCTATGTGTATCTACCAATGTGACTCTTCCTGTGGAGCCACTTAGTTACATAGACCCTGCAATTATGTGCGGTTATTGTCGGATTTCCGAACATCATCTTGCTTGGTTGGTTAAAGAACAAACAAAATCCATTCATAGTTCTATTATATCTCATCTCGTGGATACAGAACACAAGACTGATGTTAACGAAGCTTTCCAAGTCATCTACCGCATACCACATAATCTTAACCTCATCTTAAGAGTTCGTCTGTCTGTCTGGATTCAACATAGAAATTGGCACCGAAGTGCAGCAGTTCGAGTTGCCACGTTCCAAATAGCATACAAAGGTAGACAAGAAAATGAGTGAAGAGAATCAATAGAGTTTGACAAGTATAAGAGTGAAACAGAATGAATAATGGTAGAAAGGAATATGAAAGATTACAGAGACTGAATACATCTGCGTAAGCCATTGACAGCGATTTTGAGCCATGTCACCTAGTGTCTTCAGCCATTGATTGATTATTAGAGTCCCGAGGGCTCCGACCCGGAAGTCTGCATCTCCCTACCTGACTCAGTTTAACTGTCAAAGATTTCATGGATTGATGAGGCCATGTTTTTGTTTGGCCACCACTTACTCTTTTCCAACCTGCACCTATATCAGCTAGTAATGCCCAACGGGAGGGGCGATGGTTAGGCATGTGCAGCACGTGATCTAGCCATCTCAATCTACGTGACTTTATATCCTCGTCGATTGATTTCCCCTCTTTGCCCAACACTCTACACCTAACGTCAACATTACTTACCTTATTATACCACCTAATGTGAGAAGGAGATCGTAGACATCTATGATCAAAAACAGTCAACCTTTTCATGTCTTCAACTCGTATTGGCCGTGTTTCAGAGTCATAGAGAAGGAGGGAGCAAACTGCTGAGCAGTACGCACATCCCTTGTTTGATAGCCGGATGTTACGCCTACGCCAGAGATGGTGTAAGTTAGCGAAAGCAGCCCGAGCTTCGTCTACTACATATGGCCAAGGCCGTTAGGATCCACATTAAAATATCTAACTTATGCATCGAAAAGAAGAAGTTGGTTCAGACACTATCCTCACCCCGTTGGCCATCAAGGTTTTAATGATCTTTATTTGGTTGTGGAAATTTCCTTAATTTGATTTGATATCCCATTTGCTATTATATTTTGATCATTATTATTATTATTATAATTTATGCATCTTTCGTGAACTGGTCTTACTGAACAATATCGATATTATTTAAAAACGCCAATATTTTTAATGACGAATATTCTAGAATATTCTATGTATATAAACATATGTATATAATTGTAGAGCCAGAAGAGGAGGAAATTATCGACCAGGATATTCTTCGCTCAATTTTCTTTTTCTAAATTACAAAGTTGGTTGGCACATCCAAATGAATATAAATATTTCAATTAGATAGTTAAAGAGGGATTTTCCAAAAAGAAGTTCTTTCGTTACACTTATTATCAAGCTTATATTATTATTATTATTATTGTTCCCTTGGGTTCATAGGGCTTCAACTACACGTCGCCACTTGCTTCTGTCTTCTGCTGTACTTTTCACTTGCATCCATGTTAGTCCATACTGTTTCTTCACACGATCTCCATGTCACCCTTGGACGTCCCACTCGCCGCTTCCCTTTCGGGTTCCACTCGAGCACGCGCGATGTGACCCAACGGCCTCCTCAGAGAGTGTCCAATCCATCTCCACTTTCTCCTGCATATTTGTTTGTTCCCATAGTTTCTTGTTGGTGATTCTTTCCGGCCGGCCATCTGATCTTCAGTATAGAGCGAAGACAGTTGTTGATAAAGGTCTGCAA